ATACTCTCCCGCGCGCCTTCTCAGCTCGGCCGGAGAAGCAGGGATGGGGGGGGGGGAGGTGGAGGGGGGGGGGAGGAGGGGGGGGCGGAGGAGGCGGGCGCCCCCGGCCACTGGCCAGCCTGCCTGTTCGGCTCGGCCAGAGGAGAAGGAGGAGGAGGAGGAGGAGGAGGAGGAGGAGGAGGAGGAGGAGGAGGAGGAGGAGGAGGAGGAGGAGGAGGTGAGAGTTGCGAGGCTGTCTCAGGCGAAAGTGGCTTGACGGCCCGAGCTCAGGGAATCTCGGAATCGCTGGCCTGGCTCGGCCACCGGCGAGCTCGGCCTGTGCGAATACTGTGCGTACCTGTGCAGTGCATGTGCGGGACGTGCAAGAATGCCGGGGCCGGCGTTCGTCTCCGGACGCCGGCGCGTTCGCGTCCGGCCAGTTCCGCGTGAGACGTCGTCGGCAATTTGGAGGCCGACGTGCTTTGACATGAAGTGATCTGGCCACCTTCGCCTGAGACATCCTCGCAACTCTGGTCTCGGAGATGCCCTGCCCCATGGTGGCCCGGCCACTTTCGCTTGAGACATCCTCGGGACTCTGGGTTTCGAGACGCCCTGAGCTGAGGTGGTTAGACCACTTTCGCCTGAGACATCCTCGCAACTCTGACCTCAGAGATCTCCTGCCCCATGCTGGTCAGGCCACGGTCGCCTGAGACATCCTCGCAAGTCTCGATTCCGATATGCCCCGAGCTGAGGTGGTCAGCCACTGTCGCCTGAGACATCCTCGCAACCCTGATCTCAATGATGCCCTGCTCGATAGTGTCTCGGCCCCTTTCGCCTGAGACATCCTCGGAACTCTGGGTTCCGAGACGCCCTGAGTTGAGGTGGTTAGACCACTTTCGCTTTAGACATCCTCGCCCGAGATGCCCTGAGTTGAGCTGTTCAGGCCACTTTTGCCTGAGACATCCTCGCAACTCTGACCTCAATGATGCCCTGCTCCATAGTGTCTCGGCCTTTTTCGCCTGAGACCCTCGCAACTCTGGGTTCTGAGATGCCCTGAGCAGGTGGTCAGGCCAGTCCTGCCTGAGACATCCTCGCAACTCTGGGCTCCGAGATGCCCTGGGCTGAGGTGGTCAGACCACTCTCCCCAGAGACATCCTCGCAACTCTGACCTCAGAGATCTCTTGCCCCATGGTGGTCAGGCCACTTTCGCTTGAGACATCCTCACAACTCAGACCTCGGAGGTGTCCTGCCCCATGGTCGTCTGGTCACCTTGACCAGCGACATCCTCGCCACTCTGGTTTCCAAGATGCCCTGCCCCATGGTGATCCGGCCACGCTTGCCTGAGACATCCTCGGAACTCTGGGTTGCGAAATGCCCCGAGCTCAGGTGGTCAGGCCACTATCGCCTGCGACATCTCTGCGGCATGTGCGGGCATGTGCGTCTATGCTTTCAGAGTTTTGCTTGACCCTGCATTCGACTGTGCGTCGGACGGTGTGGCATGTGCGCGCATGTGCGGCAATGCTGTGGAGGCTTTTGTATATTTGCATGGGCATGTGCATGCGACTGTGCGGCATGTGCCTGCATGTGCGGCCCCTTCCGGACCACAATTTCAAAGTGAGCACTATAGAAGTGAGCGCTATAGAAGTGAGTCCGGTGTAGCGCGCTAGTCCAAGGTAGAACGTGAGGAAGTCTCGAGTGGTAGCGCTGGTTTTGTTGGGACGGCGGCTTTCAGCGGCGAGCAGGAGCACCAGCCCTGAGTAAAAAAGGAGGACGTCTCGAGCGGGAGCGTTGTTGTTGATGTTGTTGAACACTATTAATTCTAAAGAATAATTATTGTTGGGCCCCCTGGTGCACGCCCCCCCCCCCCCGCGCCTAGGCCGCAGCCACATTTTCATCATTTTCGTGAGGAAGTCTCAGGTAAAACGATGTCATCCAGATCCGGTTGTTTTGTTGACGCCCGCTTTCCCTTGCAAAAAACACTATAAAATGAAATTTCTTGTTCTAACATAACCAAACTTCAAGAATCCTTTGAAAAAAATGACACGAAGTGCACACTCGCGCGCGCAAGATGAAATCCTTCCAAAACCTTAGTTTTCGTAGCGATTTTAACATAAAAACATGAAAAACCCAATGGTTTTTCAAAAAAAAGTTTCAAAAATTCATCTTGCGCGCTCTTGCGGATTTCTGAGGAAACCCAATATTTTTTCAACATTTCTGTCAAACGGGCTCTTGCGAGCAACTTTTTCACGTGCTTCGAACTTCTGCAACCACGGTTGCGCGCATGTCAGGGCCATCATCCCTGTCAAATAATACCATATTGGACACATTCGTTTTTTCTTCGCGCGCGCACGCCGTCGTCGTCGGCCGCGGGGCCCTGAATAGTAGCCACGGTCGTCCGCATGCCACGAAGTGAAGTGTCCGAACGTCATAGGGCGGGAAGCTGGGTGTGGGTGGTGGCGAAGAGTCGTTTGGAAATTTGGTAGAGCTTGAACCGGCCCCCCCACAAAGTGGGGGTATTGCCCGCCTCCTATGAAAACCCTGGCACTGGTGAGAACGGAGTGTCCCCACGTGCTAGTAATTGTTGTTGTTGTTGTTGTTGTTGTTGTTGTTGTTGTTGTTGTTGTTGAACATTATTTATTCTAAAGAATAATTATTGTTGGGACCCCTGGTGCGCGGCCCCCCGCCGCGCCTAGGCCGCAGCCTCATTTTCATCATTTTCGTGAGGAAGTCTCAGGCAAAACGATGTGTACCAGATCCGGTTGTTTTGTTGATCCGTTTTCCCTTGCAAAAAATAAGCTAAAGTGGACATTTCTTGTTCTAACATAACCAAACTTCAAGAATCCCTTGCAAAAAATAAGGTAAAGTGGACATTCGCGCGCGCAAGACGAAATCCTTCCAAAACCTTAGTTTTCGTAGCGATTTTAACATAAAAACATCAAAAAACCAATGGTTTTTCAACAAAAAAATGTCAAAATTTCATCCCGCGCGCTCTTGCGGATTCGTAGGAAACCCAACACTTTTTAAACATTTCTGTCAAACGGGCTTTTGCGAGCAACTTTTTCGAACTTCTGCAACAACGGTTGCGCACCTGCCAGGGCCATCATCCCTGTCAAATAATACCATGCGGGACACATTCGTTTTTTCTTCGCGCGCGCACGCCGTCGTCGTCGGCCGCGGGGCCCTGAATAGTAGCCACGGTCGTCCGCATGCCACGAAGTGAAGTGTCCGAACGTCATAGGGCGGGAAGCTGGGTGTGGGTGGTGGCGAAGAGTCGTTTGGAAATTTGGTAGAGCTTGAACCGGCCCCCCCACAAAGTGGGGGTATTGCCCGCCTCCTATGAAAACCCTGGCACTGGTGAGAACGGAGTGTCCCCACGTGCTAGTAATTGTTGTTGTTGTTGTTGTTGTTGTTGTTGTTGTTGTTGTTGTTGTTGTTGCTGTTGTTGCTGTTGTTGTTGTTGTTGTTGTTGTTGTTGTTGTTGTTGTTGTTGGGAGGGCCGTTTGAGCGCCCCCCCAAACCGCTCGAGCGTGAGCCTCATGTTCAATGAAAACGTAGCCCGCGCCGAGGCGAGAGCGCCAGGGCGCCCGGGGGTGTCCAACTATAGCAATTGTTTCATAATCTACATCCAACGACAAACGAGCATAATTCGGGCCAAGGAATCCCACTCCCCCCCCCTCACCCAAGGATGGTGCACGACCGGTCGGCCCCCTCTTTCTAATGACTCTGTTCCTGTCCCTGGCTTTCGAGCCGACTCCTGTCCTCGACTCGGCTGTCCGATCCCCGGCCCCGCCGGCGGCCTCGCGCTCCAGGCGCGGACTCCCGGCAGGCCGTCCCAGTCCCCCCGCCGCACTCGGCCCCTGCATCGGACATCGCGCCTGGCCCCTCCTGCCCGCCCCGCGGAACGCCTGCGTCCAGAGATCCGAGGCCCCGAGACAGTGGGAGCTGCCGTTCCTTGGCCAGTTACTCTTGGCCTCCCGGGGCCCTCAACGCGCCCCGGGACCCTCCAGAGCGAGTCAGGATGAAGACCGGTCCTCGGGAAGTTGTCCACACCTCCGGGCGTCCACGCATCGGAACATCGGAGCGCCGGATGTTTTGGCGTGAGGTTCTCACCATCGTCTACCTTATCTTCATCCCCAATGGGCCATGGTATCTCAGCCCCACCAGCTCACCCGTTCAGATGGGCATAGGCCATCTGCCCCTCGACGCCCGAAGGGAACAGCAGATGGCTCCACCATGGGGGCTGCGTGCGGCTAAGGCGCTGAAGCAAGGCCCACTTTGGGTTCAGGAAAGGCTATGGTTTTCGGGCCGTTCCCGCGATCTATGTCGGGGAACCTACCTCGTTGCCGAGGCTCGCAGCGGCCAGAAAGGCCACTTCGGTCCTGACCGAGTGTTCCTTTTGAGCACGGCGACTGTAAGTCGGCCAGGGGGTTCTTTGGCTTTCTTGGAGCGTGAACACTTGAAAATGGCGAGAAGGTTGAAGTCCTTCAATCACCGACGGAAAATTAATGATTCAGGCCTCTTAGGGCCCTCTGTGGGGTGCCCTTGGGGCCTCCTTGGAGCTTCTTGGTGGCCCCTTTGGCGTCTTCAATCCATCCTGAGGATTATGGGGCGATCTTGAGGCGATTCGAGGCTCTCTTGGGCCGACTTCGCGGCCTCCTCGGTCTCTCGGGGCCCATCTTGGGACCCTCATGGTTTCTAGAAGACGCACGCGACACCCCCCGGGTTGGGAATTCCCAGACCGCCCGGGAAACCGGGTGTCCAGCCTTTCAGAATTTAGAATTCAGCAGCTCAGTTGTGAGCCTTGGGGCACTCCACTTCGTGCCAAGGGCGCAGTGGCGGACATTGAAGGGAGGAAAACCTAGCCCGACGCGCATCATTGGCGTTTACGAAACGGCCCTGTGCGTTTACTACTAAACAGCCTTGCCCTGTTCGTTTTCTTCCTTGGGTGCGTTTACTAGCGGCTTCCTTGCCGGGGTGTTCATGTGAGGGTGGCTTGCTTTCCACAATTACGTAATGCTCAGGTTTCCCTGCAGCAGACCTACATCTTCCCAGCGGCCGTCTCCGCCATGGGCGTGACGGCTACGCTGCAGGCGGGCCCCCCTGCACCGGGGGGGGGGGCAGAGCGGCGCCGAGAGCTCGTGCGCAATTTCCCGGGGGCGAGGGGGCAGAAGGCGGGCTCGGTCCGAGGCCGAACCGGCGGTGGAGGAGGCGGTTCCGACGTCGACGGAGGCCTGCTTCGGGGTCCCTCCACGCTTCGGCGCGCTGGCGCACGAAGTCGGGGGATGCCAGCGGACCGCCTCACCGATCCTGCGGCATGTGTGTCCACCCTGGGGTTGAGGGAATCGGTTATACGCCCTCCTGGCCTGGCCGGGGAGGTGTTCGCCGCTCCAATTTTTGCTCGGAGCCTCGGATCTCTGGGGTCGGTCAATTGCGGTGACAATTGTGGGCCGTGTATCGCACTCGAGCCGAATATCGCTTTCGGGGCGATCCTCCTCGCCTGCTCCCGCTGCCTTTCGGGCACCTCCTACGGGGTGATGCGTGTGTGCGTGTGTGTGTGTGTGTGTGTGTGTGTGTGTGTGTGTGTGTGTGTGTGTGTGTGTGTGTGTGTGTGTGTGTGTGTGTGTGTGTGTGTGTGTGTGTGTGTGTGTGTGTGTGTGTGTGTGTGTGTGTGTGTGTGTGCACGGTCAATGCGCTAGACCCCATCCCTGGGAGGAGGGAGAGGGAGGAGGAGGAGGAGGAGGAGGAGGAGGAGGAGGAGGAGGAGGAAGAGGAGGACGAGGACGAGGACGAGGACGAGGACGAGGACGAGGACGAGGACGAGGACGAGGAGGAGGAGGAGGAGGAGGAGGGGGAGGAGCCGTCCTCTCCGTCGTGTCGTCGCCTTCGCCGCCGTCGTCCGTCTTGGGGTCTCCCCTCGTGTTGTCGCTCGTTTTGTTGCGGGCTCAGCTCGAAAGTTTTCAGGGGGCGCGGCTCGTGAAGGTGCGAGCTGTGTGGCGCGGCGCAGGGGTGTGGGCCGTGCGTTGGTGAGGTCTTGGGCGACCTGCTGGTGGCTGTCTTTTTTTCTGTCTCTTTGTATCCCTCTGCCTCTGGGCTCCTCCCTCTCCTCCTGGGGCATCCCCCTTTTTCGCCGCACGGTTGGCTTGCCCACCCTTTCTCCCCGCGGCCGCGACAGGCGGCTCATTGGGGACCCCCGCCCGTGCTCCCCACGGCCAGGGCCCCCCACTTTGGCGTGCGTGGGGGCGGGCTCTCTCGCGCAGGAGTGGTGCCCCTGCGGAGGTCGACTTGGGCGGCACAGCCACGGGGGGCGTGCCGCAGCCTGAGGACGCAGCTCGAGAACGGTCGGGGGGCACGGTGCGCAGGGTGCGAGCTCCCTGGCGCCGCGCAGGGATGAGGGCAGTGTGCGCAGGTGAGGTTTTAGGTGGCCTGCCTGTCGCCGTTTTGCTGCTGTGTCGTCGACGCGCCCTGGCGGGGGCAATCCGCCTGCTGCGACGCCATTGGGCGGGTGGCAGTCCGCTTGCATTGTGCCAATTTCCACATGCGCCGCCGGCCAGGGCGGCGTAGAACAACTCTGGCTCTCGTCCCTTCCCGCCGTCCTCGTCCTTCTCCTGATGTTCGTGCCGCCCCCGTCTCCCCCCGCTGCCCCCCGCCCCCCCTTCCCCTCCGGAGGCTCAGCCTCCATCTGCCCGTCGCTGTTTGACAGTGCTGCCCGCCCGGCGCGTCTCTGGTCGCTCGGTGGTGCCCCTCCCTCCCTGCCTGCCTGTGCGTGCCTCCCTGCACGCCGGGCAGTTCGCTCAGCAGTGCCCCTGCTTCGCTCCTTCGCTGGTGCGGGTTGCCCCGCCTCGCTGCCGACGAGGAAAAAGTGTGTGTGTGTGTGTGCCTCCGTTTCCCTCTCTCCGCCTCCGTCCCCGGCTAACTCCGCCTGCCCTCTTCGTGCCTCTTCCTGCCCTTCTTGCGTGTGGTGCCTCTTCTCTTCCCCTCGGCTCCCCCTCTTCCGTCGGTCGGCCCGTTGTTTCGTGCCTTTCCTTGCCCTCATGGCTTGTGGTGCCTCTTTTCTTCCCCTCGGCTCCCCCTCTTTCGGTCGGCCCGTTGTCCTTCGCGTCCGTCCGTCTGTCTTCTTCGGCTGTTTGTTGTCGCTCCTCGTTCTTCGCTCCCCTCCTCGCTCGGGTCCCCCCCCTGCCTTTGTCTTGCTGGCCCATTGTCGTCGTAGTTTTGGCTGCTGCATCGCTTGAGTGCCTTCTTGATTTCGCCAGGTTTCAGCTCGCTTTGGCCGTGCGGACTCACCTTCTTTCTTTGCCGGCGCGCACGCACCAGCGATGATCTTCGGACGGCTGGAGGTGTGCCATGCCCTCGACGCGGAAAACATGTGTATGTATGTGTGTGATTGTGTGTGCATGTGTGTGGGTGTGTTGCTGCAGGTGTCCCCTCGCCGCGGCCGTCCTGCCCCCCCCCCCCCCGTGCCGTTGGTCAACCCGACCTGGTCCCTCGCGCGCTGAGCGATCACCAACGCCGCGAGCATCAATACTATGCAGGCCGAGGGCTCGCCCATCCCGCTGTTGTGCAACCTGAGCACGCCCACGTCGAAAGATTTTCCTCTAAACGTCGAAGAGGACCACCCCCGTCCCCCGTAGAATCTGAACACGGGGGGGGGCCTGCGGTCGACGGATCCCATTCTTGTCGCTTCCGGGAACGAATTTCAGATGATAGATTCAAAACGGGGCAGAAATGGGATCCGCGGTAAAAGATAGGGTCCGACTCGGATCCCGAAAATCAGAAATGGGATTTGCGCGCACGGAAATGGGATCCGCCGCGATTTCACGATTACGGTAAGGTTGGACATCGGATCCGTGCGACCCTCATACGGTTCGCCGCTGTGATTTCCCAGAGGGCCCGTGCACCGCGTGGGACCGTGAGGTCCAGCGCCAAGAGGAAAAAGCTTTCGGCCTGGGGATGGGCGTTTTTGGCATCCGACCTGTCCTTTGCCGCATGCGGCACATCTCTTGGCTGCGGCTTCCGTTCGAGACTTCCTCGAATGCTCTTGAGGACTGCCGTTCGAGATTTCCTCGCATGCGCTCGGCGCTTCCGACGTTGCATCAGCCTCGGGCCACGCGGCATCCAGGCGGCCAGGATGCACGCGCCCTCGTCGCGCGTTTCTTTTCGGGGTTCTCGCCGTCGCAGGCCTTCCTTTCTCGTCCCCCGCGGGGGCTGGAGGAGGACGAGATCGACGCGGGGCGAAATGGGGCGCCTCCTTTCCGCCGCGCTTTGAGAGGAAGCGGCCTTTTGAAAGAGACGCTGGCGCGCCCAGGTCCGCAGTGGTTGGACGGGGCCCACGGTTTTGAAGAGATGCCGCCCTCATTCCACCATTCAGGAGGGAAAAAAACACACAGACACAATACATCGGCGATTTCCCAGAAAATATGGGAAAATATGGGGGAAGACGAAAACCATGCGTTTCGGCGGCCGCCGCCGTTTTGAAAACATGAGGCCCTCCGTCCGTGCTCGGCCAGACGTGGCGCCGCACGCCGCGCAGCGTGCCACCGCGCGGCGGGAACTTCAGGGGGCCCGTTGGGCCGAGAGAGGCAGGGTGCCGGCGCACTCACGCAGGACGAAACATTTTCCGCTTGACGTCGAAGAGGACCACCCCCGTCCCCCGTAGAATCTGAACACGGGGGGGGCCTGCGGTCGACGGAGCCCATTCTTGTCGCTTCCGGGAACGAATTTAATTGTACTCTGGCCAGTGCCGCCGATCCGGGGGCGCTCCGACTGATGCGATCCTTGTTCGCCCTCGCCCTTCCTCTCTTTTTCCCTCCCTCGCCTTCTCACTCCGCATTTATCATGTGGCCTTCGGCCTATCCCGCCACCTTGCCTGGGTGGTGGGTCAGAGGCCTCATGGATGTTGGTTGGGATCTCGTGGTTGGCCTCTTCGGGGCCTCTGGGAGGCAGTTTCCGGGCCTCTTGGGCAGTTGCGGGGCTTCTTGGGGCCATTTTGGGGCCTCTTGGGGGCTTCGTTGGGGCGTCTTGGAGCTTTTTGGGAGCCTCTGGGGAGCTTCTTGGGGCCTCTTGGGGGCCTCTTGAGACTTCTTGGGGCGGGAGGGGGGTACTCGAGTTCGGGACACTCTCGGAGGCCACGATCCTCGTGAGGGGTGTCAAAAAATGCCCTCCCCAGAGACACACGGGTAGCCGCGACAAGCCCTAGGAGCCCCCCTCGGAAAGCGGAGCGCAACTCGTTCCCCCCCCCCTCCCCCCATTCCCCGGCAGAGCCACCCCGGCCCCCCCCCCCAGCAGAGCTGAAGCTCAGGCTGTAGGCTGTAGGCTGTAGCTGAGGCTTTTTCAAACTCACACGCCAGATCGGCGGATACTACAAATTCAAAACGGGGTAGACATGGGATCCGCGGTGAAAAACAGGGTCCGACGCGGATCCCGAAAATCAGAATTGGGATCCGCGCGCACGGAGATGGGATCCGCCGCGATTTCACGATTACGATAAGGTTGGACATCGGATCCGTGCGACCCTCATACGGTTCGCCGCTGTGATTTCCCAGAGGGCCCGTGCACCGCGTGGGACCGTGAGGTCCAGCGCCAAGAGGAAAAACTTTCGGCCTGGGGATGTACATCATATAACATGATGCTATGTAGCTGCTGTCAGTACCCTCGTGAAGCAGGATCGGATGTTGAGGGGTGAGATCGCAGTGGGGCGGAAAGCCCCCGCACCGGAAAATCGGTTTCGGTTTTGTGTTCGGCTCGAGCGAGAGGAAGGATGCCGCCGTGGCTATAGGGCTGTGAAACCGGTTGTCCGCCCCTTCCCCTCCCGGCGTGCGGTGGCCAGGGGTGGCGCGTCGGTCGATGTCTCGTCGGTGTCGCGGGGTGTCCCGACAGTGGCTCCAGTTGTCCCGCCGTGGTGTCTTTGGTAGCTCGTGAGATCAGTTGTGATATGGACAGTGAGATCGATAGTGAAATCGGTTGCGCGATCGATCTTGATCATGCGATCGATCGCGACATCGAGAGATCGATAGTGAGATCGATGGTGAGATCGATAGCGAGATCGATCACAACAGATCTTTGGCTGGGGTTGCCCGCCGTGGCTGGGGGTGCC